TATAGCTCAGTAAGATTTTTTTTTTCTTTATTGGCCTTTGTGTTGGAATTGCTCTGATAGGGACAAGCCTGCACTCCTTTAGTGCATGCCTAGAAGTGTCACTCACCTCCTTAAAACGATGTCCATGGCCGAGCTGCAATGGAACTGGCCCAGAAACGCACACTAATTTTCAGTTGCCTGGATCTGTCCTGATTCTTACAGGGTGTCACCAGCCTATATTCCTTGGAATGATTTGTCATTTTGCTGAGGCTGCCATAAGTGTTTTAGTGCCAGATGCAATCACTAGTGAAAGGCTGATGGCAAGCAGTCTTGCTCTTGAAGAACCTAACAGGCTCAGGAGAAAACCTGCAGGAGATAACTGGGAAGCTACTCGTAGAGACAAAAATGAGTAATTCATTACATCCTAATTGTTGTGAGATTGCATAAACAAAACTTGCAACAAAGGTGTTGCCAAAGGTGTTAAAACAAATACTGCAAAAATTACATTACTGGGAAATTCAGGAGTAGAATCACAACTGCTCAAAACAAAAAACCAAAACACAAATAAAAACTCCAGAGAAACAAAAAACCCCAAATCCAAACAGTGAGCTGCCTTTTTATTTTAAATTGTTTTAATAGTAATTTTATTTTTAATTCACAACTTAGCCATCTGCCTGTAGCTTAATTAATTTGGAATAATTCCAAGTTTTAGATGGTGTTCTTAGCCTGCCTTTTGCAAAAAAATGGCCTGTAACCTAAAATCTCAGCATAGTGCTATAACAGCTACTGCAACTTTCTTTTTTTCCTTTCCTAATTTATTTCTAAGCTTTAAGATTATGCAGATTGAACTGTAGTTGACAAAGAACTGGACAAGTAATGCTATAAGTATTAGTTGTGTTTGAGCTGGAAAACAGGCAACCAGTCCTGATAGCTCTTTGTTTAAATTTTTTCCCCCTCCCAGTATTAGCATCTCTGTGGGTAGAGCCCTTCCCAAATCTTCGTTCACGAAGCCTAGCCATGATGATGATGATGGTTAATTTCTGAATCAAAAATTTATATGTGTGTGTAAGCCACTTTTATTCTTTCTTCTTTTTTAAACTAGCAGCATGCTCTTTGTTCTACATTCCTCCAACCCTTGCTCCAGGCAAAAAAGAATAACTGATTTTGCTGATGTCCCTAAGCCTTGTTTCTGTGCTGGTAGATTCTGTCCTCCTGAATGATTACTAGTAAATTGCTCTGATTTTATCTGCAGCTAAGCCACTACTCTTATCTGATGCTACTTTAAACCATGCTTAGTTTCATACATAGATGGGCTTTCATCTACATCCTGTGGGAACATTTGACCACATCTATAGCATGGATCAAAGTGAATGTTCTTGTCTGAAGAAAAACTAAGAGTTTACAAAGTTTAAAAAAAAAAAAGTCAAATGTTTGATATCTGTGGACCCCAATAAAATGACCTGTAACTAAAAGATTAGTTACAGGAGTTTATTGCCTGTGAATTCCATGTAATTTTTCTTCTCTTTAAACCTTTTACTCAGCTAATTTAAGGAACGTAAGTTTGCTGGAGTAACACTTTCCTAGGTGTAGGTGTTCAGGCAAAACCAGGACTAAATGGGAAACTATATGCAGGATATCAAACAGAGAATGGGATTCTGTAGGTGTGCATAGAATTACACTGAAATTGGACTGATGGAGGCCCCTGTGAGGATATTCTGCTGTCATTGATTTGTGCTTTTTGAATTTTCCAGAGCTTACAGGTCTTTTGATCAACCTCCTTGCTGCCATATAATTGTTAAAGGGGTATTAATAACAATAGAAATATTTCAACCATCTACATTTTAAAAAGGGATGAATCATCAGAGATCATAAGGAACTGATAACAGAGTCTTAGCCTGGTAGGTCATGCAGTTCAAGACTTGGAAATTCCCATTTATGTTAAAACTCTCTCTGCTGTAAATTGATGAAATCTGCAGTTGATCTGCCTCATAACAGTTCTATTAAAGGATTGTGCTGTATATATTTCTGAAGAAAGCTTCAGGAGCGGTGCAAAAATTATTTCTTTTACTTGAATGATTTTTCCAGGAAGGTACAGAAGGCCTTCAAGTGGCCGATGGCTACGCGAGGAAGCTCCCAGGCGGAGATGCCCAAACCGCCTATGCCTGTGGGAATTGTGCCTGTACTGTCATTTTCTTCATCAACCATAAAATACAGTTTTAAATTATTAATTCCAATCTGCTGTAAATTTTACTTTACTGGATTTTTTTTTTTTTTTTGGTAGAAGGTTATGTTAAAAGTTCAGTGTCAGAATTTCTAATAAAACCCTACAGTGATTATTTTAATTGCCAGATCAATGAAAACATAGGCTGGTGTCACTTTAGTGAACCTCTCTAATTAGGAGCATAGGATTTGCCATTGCAGATCAGGCTGATCTTTTACTGAGTCTATGAGCATCCTGCCTCCAGCAGTGCCCACACCAGCTGGCTTTGATGGAACTAGCATCCCCCTTCCTCCTTCCCCAGCAAGGCATAAGGTCAGTGGGAAATGAAGAAGCAGAATTTTCCTCTTATATCATTCAGAGGATCATTCTTCATCCCAAAGACAGTGAACTGGTAACTGGGGTCTTGACCAGCATGTATGTAAATGGCCTTCAGGGATAAAAATACTGATTTTTTTTTTTTAAATATATACTGCTGAACTAACCTTAGGTGCAGAGGGTGACTCTTTCCCATTAGAGAGAGTATTTTTTAAATTACTCATAAATATACGAGTCCATTTGGTTGAAAAGGTCTTTGTGATGTAGACTGTACTAGAGAAAGGGGGACTAAAGTTTTTGCTATAACATCTGTACTCTGGAACTTTTTTGCTATATTCCCTTAGGCTGCATCATAGCTGGGGACGCTGCCCTTCTCTGCCCCTTTAAGTTTGATCTGGTGCCAAGTGTGTAGCTTCAACTATTACCAGTTGTCTTCTATCTAATTGGCATATAGATCATGATATAGAAAGCACTCCCAACCCTTTAAATGGAAGCAGGAGGAACTAAGCTGGAAGCAGGGTCAGCATTGACAATTTAATTTAATTTTGAAAGTTATCAGTCAGTAGAAGATTCAGTTAGATTTGTATCTGTGAAACAGATGGCCAACTGCAGGACCATTAGATTAGGTTTGTTATGTTTGTGGAAATTAATTCACCACTTTATTTTTTTTGTTTGGGAAAAATAAAGAAAGAACAACTTGAATTATTTGGTAAGTGCTTAGCAGGAACAATTTATAAAGATGATCTTATTTCCTGTAAAACACAGCCAACCCCTGGTGATCCCAGATTATGGAGAAAGCTTTTTGCTGTAGCCTGATTTCTGGGCTATGTAGGAATACAGTGAATGACAAAACAAAACCAAAAATGCTGCCACCTGTGCATAAACGGGTTTTAATATTTTCAAATGCAAGAAATTTATCTCAAGATCTCATTAGCAAAACATGTAGAACCAGACACCTGTGTGGGCTGCATCCTCCCATCTGTATGTTGATGCAAATATATATGAGTATCTTCCTTTTTCCCTTCTGAAAAGTGAGGATGAGTTTTAAAAATGCTGGAGATCTAGCACTTGTTCAGGTTTTTAAAAAGTATCTGAAGTTTTCTGAAAAATCAGTTTTTTATTTTGATGGCTATGTGGAATTTGAGCTCCTGTGATAATCTGGATCTAATGGGATGCTGGGCCCTAAGAGATTCTTAGTCTTTTTTTGCATATTTGGGATGGAGTCTTTGCCACACAAATTAATGCTCAGCTGTCACAAAGCATTTATCACTATCTTAAAAATGCAGCTTAAAATAAAAATAGGTCTTTCAAAAGTAGGTCACACCTAAGATTTGTCTAGCCAACTGTCCCATTTCCGACAGTGCCCAAGAGCAGGAGGAACATTAGAAGAGCATTAGAAATAGAAGCATGGGTAGAACATACAAAACCCTTTTGGAAAGATAGTTGGCTCCTTCTCATTCTTACACTTGCCATCAATAAACTTTAGAAATAATGGAATTAACATGTAATTCTTTAACTACCAACTTCAGAACAGCATTCCTGTTCAGAAGAGTTAAATGTGTGCTAAATGATTGAGAATTGAATACATTGAAGCAATTGTGTGGTCAAGTCCTTTCTTGAGTTTGGTTCTTGTTTCCTCCTTCTTTTGTTCCTTCCATCTCCAGATTTTGCGTTGATCTTGCTTGGCAGATAAAGTGAGGAATAAATTGCTGGCCCTCATGACTCAGTTGCAGTGATTTCTCATCCGTGTGTTGGTTGCAAGTTGCTTTATGTCCTTCCAAGTGTTAGCGAGCACTGCTTCTTGCCAGCTTCTGGCAGCTTCAGAGACACTGCTGCTTGTGAAAAGCTTGCACACTGAACTAAATTACATTTTACAGAGTGAGAAAGGTAGTGCAGAGGACTTCATGTTTTTTGAGGGGCACTAGGCATTCTGTTCATAGGAGAGGAGGGTATTTGGCTGGTGATTATATCAGTATATCAGTATATCAGTGTTGATATGGACTGAACCTACCCAGCCCCTGGTTTTGAAGTCTCATTTTTGTCCATCAAGCACTAAGCAGACCCAAAGGGCAATGTTGGCTAGACCTTCTTGGCTAGAAGAGGGCTAGGATTTGGTCTCTCAGGCAAGATCAAGGCCAATTTCTGTAATTCCCTAATCCCCACAGCAAACTGATTTTGTTAAAAATTAGGAAAAGCTTTTGCAACGTTTCTGGCCTCAGTATTTGGACCAGATAACTTTCATCTTCATACATTGCTAGGAGTTGAAAGGGTTTAGTATCACATGCCTTAGAAACCAATTGTACTTTCACTTGGAGTTGCTTCACATCTGTGAATCTTGTTTTGATTAATTAATCCTCTAAGCAATCAAGAAAAAATGGAATAGAGGAGTGAGTTTGTGCTTAAAATGCTACATGGCAAATTGGATTCCATTTCTAGCCCTATTGAGATTATATTTCAAGATTATCTCTTGGAATCTTTTCCTTACCCTTTGTTTCTCAGAGTCCAGTCCAGCAGTGATAGTTCATCTGTTTTGATCCCTCCTGTGGCCATGGCTTTCTGCCCAGAGGAGATGATACTGCAAACATACAGATTTGTGACCCCAGGTGAAAAATACCGATGAAATTACAGCAGCTGTTTGGAACAGTCTCTCACACCTCTTCCAAACAGAGAAAATGAGCCTGTCTTCATTAGAAAAGTTTAGAAGACTTTTTTTTTTCTTTTTTTTTTTTTTTTACTGTCACGGGCCAAGTGTGCCAAGACTTCATCAAGTTCTGGGAACTGACCACCCTGAGTACTGGATGCTTACAGAAGGAGCTCTATTCAAGTTTGTAGCAGCCTGAAGTTAGATTTCTCTCCCATCTTCAGTGCTCAGGGGTTTTGGGGGAACACTGCAAGCTTCCCCCGTTCTCACACTCCATCGGGTGCCTGTCTGCATTAGCAGGGCTGTTGCTCAGAGCACAGTCCTGAGCACATCAGAGGCCCAGCACTCAGAGCTGTTTGGGTAAACTTCCAACTCCATCAAAGCCCCGTTTGCGTCCTACCTCACCAAAACAAACAGACCCCTCAGCCGCAGTGAGTGGGCTTTGCTGGGGGGAGAGAGCTCCTGTGGAGACAGCGTGGCTCCCCAACTGTTTGCTTTTCATGGAGCGGTTTAAAGAGCAGCTTAGATTTTTGCTCTGGCAGAAGTGTGCCTTTTGAAAAAGCAACAGCTAAAATGTCAGACATCCATCCTTCAGCTTGGCAAGAGGGCAGGTGAAGCAGTCATTGCTTCTCACCTTGGCAACACTGGCTGTGTTATTTTTTTTTAATACACAAAATTCCAGCCAAGCGTTGTACAAGTGCCAGTGCTCTGTGTTTTTAAGGAATGCCAGCAGCGTGGTCAGACTCTGGGATTAGGGCTGACTTGCACATGGTGGGGTCCTGCCAGAGGGCAGGCAGCACTTGCTGTACCAGGTTACGTGTGTCCACTCGAGGTCCAATTCAACCTGGTGCTTTTTAGCTTGCATTTGTAATAGATAAAACCTTCAAACATTGATTGATATTGTGAATGCTCCGAAGTTCAAAAAATATATCTGGACTTTTTTGTCATGTAAAAATTTGGATTTCCATTCAGAGAATAAATTTCCACTGACATTGGGAGCATTTAGGTGAAGGGGGTTGTCTCTATAATAAGTAGAAAGTCTCCTGATTGTGTAACACCCCCCCCCCAACAACAACAAAACAAAACAATCAAAACCCCAACAATTTCCTTAATAATTGTCTTTTAATGCTTACAGTGTCTAACACAAAAGACCTGCCAAACTTTATGCTTGCTGTGAGTGGCTTCATTATTCAAGAGTGTGTTTATAAAATATATTGATCCTGTTTGAAACTGATGTCAAACACTGAAACTCCCTGTTACAGACAGTAAGAAAAGGGAGCATTGGGGGTGTAAGAGAAGAGCTGCAGAAGGGGTAGGAATTGTAAAATGTGACAGTGGAAGAAATCTGAGCACTGTGCATGTGTGACTTCAGCTAAAATTAACCACCCAAGCTTCACATGCCAGCATATATATATAATCATTTAACTATAGACGCCTTGAGAAGGAAGAACAAGCTGGACTCGAGCAGTATACGTTCACCTTAAATATGCCAATAAGTAGTATGACCTTCCAGGTCCCTGTTCGTGGGAGAAGTAAATTTTCCTGTGACCATTATAAAACAGTAAGCAGCTCTTGGCTCCTCGATCATGGCAGTGGTGCTGTTGAACAGTAACTATCTGCAGCCTTAGAAGTGATTTATTTATTTATTTATTTATTTTCCCCTTTCTTCTGCAGCTTCTTAAGATTTTCTGTGGTTTTCCTTTGGAGTAGATACGTATCACCTTTTCAGATAAGCCCTTTTCTGTCGCTATTTGTGTGTGGTAGTAGATGTAAATGGGTTTATTTCATGCAGGAGAACTGTTATATTTGAAAATGATTTGCTGTGCACTTTAGGTTACTTTTTAGAAAACACTGGAAAAAGTACATTTGCTTCTTTTGTTCTCTGAGGTAAATTACAGTTTGTTGGCATGACATCAAATCAGTTGTTTTGCTGTGGCTGAATATGACTTGGAATGGGTTTTGCCAATCAGCTCAGCAAACTAAACTCTGTTTCTCTTTGGGATATGCGAAGGAGTTGATGCAGGTGTGAATGTAATCTCATTTCTCTTCAGGACTTAATGTTTTCTGCAAGGCGGAATAAGAGAGCTACCACCTGCTTGGTGTGGTGTGTGGCTCCAGCTTGCCAGGGATTTCTATGTGGCAGACGTGGATAATGGGAGCATTGAGAGTGGAGCGTGCCGGATGCCGGCACAGACGCCGTCCTTGCTTCACCTTCTAGCTGGTGCTTGGTGAGAAATATCTACCCCTCTGTGTAGGCAGCACCTGTCAGTAATGGGGTTCAGAAACTCTACAATTGGGGGGAAAAAAATAAAGATAATATCTCTTTTCTTCTCTTTTATATTGAATATAGTAAGATATTCAGTAGGGTAAGAAGGGTGCCAGCTAGGCAATTGAAAGCATGTTGCTTGTTTAATATTCACCAAAGATTTTCTCTAAAACTCAGAGAGAGCAGTGCCTGCCCTGAAGTGTGGATAGTCCCCAGCTCTATTCCTGGGAAAGGCAGCAAACATGCTAAAATTGACACATATGCTTGGCTCTGTGTGCTGTGAGTCAGCCCGTTGCTTTTGAATAGTAGTCATATGCATGAGAATAGCCCTCCTCAGTCGGGAATAAGGCTTTAAGGAGAGAAAAATGAGTAGTCCCAGTGGTGTTTAAATTACCCATTTATCTATGTAACTTCGAAAGGGTAATTAATGTACATAAGTGTCCAGTAAAATGTAATATACAGCAGAATACCTCCCACCAACTGAGTAGTAATTCAAGCAGTTCCAGCCAACACTTGCACATCTGAGAGAATAAATAATTTAGTTTAGTTCCTGTAAGAAATTTAAAAAAAGAAGCAGAGTTACCTCTGTCTCCCCAGAAAAGTGGGAACCAAGTGGGAACTTCAGTTGGTTACGGCTGCAGTCTCAGTAGTTGATGATAACTCAAAAGTTCCAACACTTTAGGTAATTGAGAGTATTTTACTGGCATCATATTAGATACTAATTTAGTAGGTGTATATATGTGTGTGTGACAGCTATTTTTAGGGGATTGCAAATCCTAGAACCACAGACTGGTGTGGGTTGGAAGGGACCTTAAAGACCATCTCGTTCTAATGACGCACCTTCCCCTAGACCAGTTTGCTTAAAGCCCAATCTGACCTGACCTGCTGTATGGATTCCTTCCAGGAAGGTCACTTTTCTGTCTCACCTGCCTACTGGAAGGAGTCCACCTGCAGTTCAGCCCATCATCACCTCAGACTTGGAGTTTCTGGTGATTTTCTCCCTTTTTTTAGCTGGTATTGATGCCAAGGTACTGGTAGGATGGAGTAGACTAATCTCCAGTTTCCCATCCTGGCTTTCCGGATGTTTCCAGTGTCTCAGAGCAGAGAGGAGAAGCCATTCACTGCTTACCTCATGTGTCCACCTCTCTCTCTGAGCTGGGATCACTGGGGACTCACAGGCATTCATAAGGACAATGGATTCTTGCTTCATATCCTTCATGTCCACATACCCTTGACTATATCCTTAAAGAAAAGGAGTAGACAGAACTCCTTCCTCAAAGCTCACTAACACCCTTACTTTATCACAGAGAGATGTGGGCACACATCATCTATCTTACGTCCTGCTTTTTAAGCCATTTGGTTTTTTGTCTTGCAAGAACTTACATTGAGGAAAAAAACCCATGCAACAGTCTTTTGGATAGCAATGCAAAGCTTCATTCATTCTAGAAGAGTCAATGCTATCCTTTTAGTGGGATTTGTGTCATGGTACAGATGTACAGATGCGGATTTCTACAGGATTTAAGAAACGTGGGGGCCACACATTGTAAGACCTAAAAAAGGTTCTGTGACAAATGCTGTAAAACTTGGTTTTTCACTTTTTTTTTTTTTTACCATGTGCTTCTTTGTTGTCCTTTTGCCAGTAACTCAGCAATATACCAGCCATATTATTGTCAGGGACATAATCTCTATGCACTTTCAAAATAACCTTTATCCATACTGTGCCCCCTTGGAGCCAGAGGTGCTTCAGAGGGATTGAGGTTTTCAGCTAAACCTTTGGCTTTAGCTATTTAGCTCTGGGCTTTGCAGTGTGATATCTGTTAATGAGATCATTGTGTTGGACTGTAGCATGGATCAGCATGAGACTGCAATCAGTGTTACCAGTCAGAAATTGGGATTTCGTGACTCTACATGTGTAAGCCCTGTTACATGGGGCAGCATCTGATGGGCTTCTCCCCCCATAACATTGCCACGACTGCAGGCATTCCCATTAGGATCATCTCAATATGCTGTGTCTATTTTTAGGCTTTGGAGTGTTTGTTTTTTTTTCACTCCCTGTGAACTTCAGTGGGCAGAGTGATTTGGTTAGCAGCAACACAGGCATTGCATTGTAGTGGGTGTTCTGGAATGGGAGTTCGTCAATGTGGCTAACCCTGCTATTCAATCAAGGAAAAAGCCTTGCTCTGCTCTAATTATGCTACATGATGTCAAAAAGATATTCTTCAGCTGTTACCAAGTTCACGAGAGCCTGATTCATGATAATTATTGGAAGAAAACAATCGCAGTCTGATTAGTAAGGAACTGCCATGGTAAAGGGAAGGAAAGAAAGGTTTGAAAATTTACTTGGGCATTTATTATAATTAGATTTGTGTGTGTGTGGAAATGAGTAACAAGGAAAAGATTCAGGCATATTTTCTACTTAGTTGGATAGAAAAGAGACATTCTTGTCAAGTAGATTCATATGAACCCTTTCCTTTTCATGAGCATAATTCAGAATACCAATGCAGAGGCAAAAACATTGGGTAGTTCTTGCCTTCCCATGTAGGACTGCATTCCATTTAAAGGAGACTCTGGAGTACATGATAATACCTGACACCCTAACCTAATTGCAGCCCCATGGATATACTGGGTCTCCTCTCATGTCTCTAAAGGATTTTCCTGGATTCATTGCTCTTGTGAGTTATCCATGCTCTGAATCCTGGGTATGACTGGCTGTGGGAACAGAGTAATATAGTCCTACAGATGCTGTGTTTGGCCTTACCTACCAGCAGATCAAGAAGAACCACCCAGATATCAGCTTGCTGCCTCCAAATGGTTTATGGAGAGAGGAATACTGTGGTTTGAGATGCCAACTTCAGGCCATTATAGCTGGCCAGGCAAGCTCTAGTTTATTTGGCTTTTTGCTTGATTTTTTTTTTTCCCCAAGGCTAAAAAAACATGTATGAATTACTTTAAAGTGGACAGAAGCTTCAGAGTTTTTGCTTTTTGCTAATCAGCTTTGTTCCCCGGCCTCCCCTGAGTGCTTAGTGGGGGCTGTGTGGGCTTGAACAAACAACCAGTTCTGCAAAAGGCACCTTTTGTACTGGTTCAGTGTTCAGATACAGGGCAGGTGGTCTGAGGTGAGCTTGGCTGTGGTGGATGTGCTCTCTCAGTGCAGCCAGAAATGTTTCATGAGGCTTGAAGTGCCAGGAAATTTCAGGGATCTCCTAACTGGAAAGCAAAATTTCTCTCTTATCTGAAACCTGCTTTAAAACAAGCAGGTATGAGGCTAAGGAAAGGCAAGCAAGGAGAAACCCAACTAAATTTCAAAATTCTTCAAACTTATTGATGGAAGACAGCGTTCAGGTCTTTTTCTTTACAGACAGCTTTCAAAAGCTTTTGAATTTGGATTTTTTTTTTTTTGTTTAAAACCCTGCTACTTTTTTCACTAGTTTTTTAGCTCTGACTCATAATGTACTGAATATTTCCAAAATTAATGCTTAACTGTAACATTCTTAATTCAAATCTGATGGATTGAAGGGAAAAGAAGGAAGTCCTTCACATTTGTTTTTAATTTGTTCCCAGATAATTGGATTCCTAAGAGAGAAAAAAAGCTACCAAACAGCTGAGTCCACCTTTAAAAAAAGCTAGAACTTAAATCCGAGTTAAACATTAAACTGACTTGGACACAAAGACCTGCTTATAGTGATTAATGCCCAAATCATGATGTTCACTTGTTTTTTGTAACTAAAATAATGAAGCTGCTTTCAATTATTTTCATACTGTGTAAACTCACTGAAAAGTTTTAAAAGTCCATACTGGTGTATATAATAAGGCAATATCTCTTGGATCAAGTATTTCATATCACAAGATTTTTATGTTTTTTGATTAGACAACTGTTCAGGTAATTTTCATTTGAATATTCAAATGTGACTTCGTCGCTCATTTGCTGAAAATACCTGAGGAACACTCAGAATTCATGTGCAGAGATAGGAAAATGGAAAGTTTCTCAGCAGTGATTTCCTACTTCTTTTATTATTGTTTTCCCATTTATTTGCCTGGTTTTGAACATTTGAAAACACTGTGTGCTTTGAAACGTATTTTATGTGTCTAGAAATAGCAGCCATTGTATTTATATTTTTTTCACTTGTTTGTATGGAAAAGGAAAAGAAACATTAGGAATCGTGTTTGTGTAGTACATTACAAAGACTTGCAACAAACAGGTTTTGAAAACATCCTGGAAAGTTTCCATGATTAGCTTAATATATGCTGTAAAAATCAGCAGTGACCTCAAAGAGGTATTGCAATAAACCTGGATAGAGCTTGTAAATATATAGCCCAGTCAGTTAAAAAACAGTAATAATTTGCATGTTAATGCATATTGCAAAACAGTGTTGTATAATAACACTTTTAAGAGAAGGACAGATTTATTATGTCTGTATTTTCCTGCAAAAGGCTTTTCTAATCAACTAGTGGAGTGAAATAATATTCCACACCCTTAAATACCCCAGAAACAAATATTTCCTCTGTACTGATGTGCATTTAATGGCATATTTTATAACAAACATAAAAGGCCCTGCTTGTAGTTCAGATACCAAAGACAGACTGACTTCAGCACCGAAGTGGAATTTACAAGAATAATTTGCCATTAGAGGGAGTTTCTTTGTGTTATCATAGACAGTGAATCAGACAGTGGGTATTTGGTTTCTTTCAGGTTGTCTCCTTTACCGGGAGCATTTAAGGGAGTTAGGGATTTCTTTGATGCAGTGTTTATTTACGGGGTATGAATCTAAGTTCTGATGTTCCTGGATGCAATAGGAATTAGGGCAGTAGGAAACAAGTACAGGATAGCAGTTTTGCAATGCCAGCCGTTCATTCTCACATTGTTATTTGACCTAAAAATCAATCCTAACCAGCTCTCAAGGTCTTGCTGTTGCTGTGATTCAGGCTCTGCCAGGAGGGGTCTGCTCCTGTTTTAACTCTGGGTCTGATCCAAGGATTTGTCTGACTGCATGATGACCTGCATCATGGGAATGATCCAGGATGGAACTGATGCATCAAAGTATAATCTTAAATTTGCTGAAAGTCATTCCGTGTTAAATTAGGACATTCATTGCAGCTCTCTCATTAAAGGAAACGTGGTTATTGCGTTTGATAAGTTGCTTGTCAGCTAAATTGCAGGAACGGTGCTGGGGGGTATGTGGAACCTTGCACTTGCAAAGTAGTTTACAACGTGTTTCCTTGTATGTATTTACTTGTAGATAAGCAAGCTACAACCATGTGGCAGAGAAGTAGGTTAAGTCAATCCTAGTTCCTTGAAGTCATTGGATCTTTTAAAGTATCTTCCTGTTATGGAAAATGTTTTCTTGTAAAAGGGGCTAAGGAACACAATGTCTCGTTTGTGCAGTGAGGGTTTCTTGCCCCTTTTCTTTTATTGGTCAGCTGGGGAATTCACTCATGTACTCAGCCTTTATTTCATTGAGGTGTCTTTCAGCCCTGTTTTTATCACTGAGGTGTTCCAGTGTGTTTTTCTGTTTAAGTCCATGATGCTGTTGGCATTGAAATGCACATCCCACTGCTCTGAAGAGGAAAGTAAAGGATGAATGGTGGAAAGAGGGACATATGTTTCAGATGTTAAGTGATTTGTTACTGGCTGCTGCCAGTAGTGTTTCACAGGTTTTAAAAAAAAAACAAAACACAAATGAAGACTTTATAACCAAAAACTCTGGTCAAAATCTCTGCTGTTCATTTTATCATATTAACATTGAATCAGAAAGAGGAATGTGAAATTACAATTCTTTTATTATAT